AACATAAGACCTTATAAACAAAGATATGTTTAATAAAGAAATAGTTAAAATTTAATTGGGGTAATCATGTTTCCTCTCTTTCTATCTAAATTTCTATACGAGCTTTAAGATAGTACTTTAAAAGTCTGTTGTAACTGTAGTATTTGTACGATGTGATGCAACTTTCGCACAGTTTAAGACACGGAAATAAACAGGAAGTTAAATTTGGTAACTTGTTATTTTCATTATAAAAATCAAAACTGCAGTCTAGATATCGTATTGCTGATAAAAAGTCACGCTTAATATTTTTGGAAACAGACTCAAAACAAGATCCTTGGTTCTTCTACATTTTTTTTCTCGGTGTGCACATAGGTGAATGATGCATTTCCGGCGGGGAAACTTTATGGATTCCCTTTGGAAAATTCGTTTTTACTTTTTTTTGGGTAAATCACTTCCGCGGGACGAATCGGAGACCCGAAATTGTCATGGCCGTCAATTGACAACACGAGCGGGCCAAAATCAGTGGATAGTGTGAGCAAGAGGGGGAAGGGGGGATGTAGAGCTATAGGGCTATAGGGCTCTAGAGTAGAGGGTCAAAAGGGAGAATATAAAGGCAGAACCGGAAGGTAAATTAAAATGGATGACAATGGGATGAGCGGAGGGAGGGCGATGGGCGAGGGGCTGCAGCCAAACGAGCATTGAATGAATGACTGAATGAATGGGTGTGAATAAGTGTAAGTGTGAGTATCTGTGTGAATGGCTTCGAGTGTGCAGATGTGTGTGTGTATGTCCATGTGAGTTTGTGGCACGCTGCTTGAGGCTGCTGCAACATGGCCGCCTAATTGTATCCGCGTTAAGCAAACACCTTTTGCCAAATATCTCGATTTTTTACGCCTGGCGAGGCGTTTAATTGGGGTTGTTATACTCGAATTCCCCCCCTAACACATAACGAAATACTCCTTTATATGCGTATATCCCAAAATATCCCGGAGATTGTCGCGCGGTTTGCCTGCGATTAACAAGGACGATTTGTGACATCCAACATACTTTATTGCATTCGAATGCGAGTGGAATGGAATGGTGTATTGTGTATCCGTCGGATGCGAATGCGGATGCGATTGGGCCAGCACATTGTCACACTTCAAATCGCATTGCCATGGGACAGCTGCCTCCGTCTATGATCCTGATTCCGATCCCGATACTCCACTGCAGAGAGTCCTCGATAGTGACACAAGGACCATGACATACCAACGAACAAAAGTGGTCTTTTGAACAAGGGAAGTTTTCTTAATTTGTAGCTTTCGGTCTGAAAAAATAATTGGGAGTTTTCACAATTGCAAAATAATGTTTGCTTTCTAAGATCGAAAACCTCAAGACATTCGATTAAGATGCCCTTTTTACCATTTGCAACTGACCAAGCTGGAATATAAAATAAAAAGATACTCATGCAACAGATACCTCTGTACTTCATATTTAAAAGGGCAAAAAATTCGCAATAAATGTTGCGAATTATTTTAAAACTATTTGTTTTTTCAAATTGTTTCATTATATAAATCTAAGCCAAATGCCTTAAATAATCTCAGTAAACAAATTGTATAAAAGTGTGCTACAAATAACCACTTCTATAATTTTAAATGTTATATATTTATAAATGGATTTAATCGAAGAATTTAAATTGTATGGAGGAGTATAAATGAACTTCCTCATTATTTACACAAGAGTCCTATAAAAGATTATTTTTCCCTTTTTATAAGCACAAACAGCATTTAATTGTGTTTCGTTTCTAATAACCCTTTGATGCTCGCTGATCCTGCACCCATTGCTATGCAAATAGATTGAAAACTAATTCGGGAAAATAAAAATAAACTATTGGAATGGGAATGCCAAAATCCCTGAAAGCCAGAAAGGGCACAGGGACGACAAGGACGAGAGCTGCAATTGAAGTTGTCTCTACTTCAGTGGTCGGCAGCGGCCTATCTAGTGAGCATAGGGAAGTGTTCTGCCCATTCTCTGCTCGCTCACGTATAACGTACATGTTCGTGTGACTTCGGCATGGGTCTTCGGGTCATTTTTTTCTCAACTTCGGCTCGCTTTTTTGTTGCTGCGGCAGAGGATCTCAGTGCAAAGCAGAGAAACGTCTCGCTTCAGCACGCCGCGCGCAAACTTCGTGTTTGTTACACTCACACTAATGCAAGGCAAACTTGTGATGGTATGTGTGTGCCGACCACTGCTCTACTTAGAGTCCAAATAGAAATAAACACTGACAAAGTAGTTTGAAGTGCGGGAAAAAACACGGTGAACATAGCTAGGGCACAAAAGTAAATAAGTACACAAATAAAGGAGACGAGGACAATAAAAACAAACGAGTTTTTGTGCGAGAATCGAATTGAATTCGTGTGTAAATTTGAATGCCACCGCGCTCTACACAGATACAGATACAGATACATTTCCACAGATATATCCATGAGATACTTAAACTTCCTGCGGAAGCTAAACTATAACAACAACAGCGACGCAGGCAGAGGTTTTACTTTGTTATTAAATGCAACATCATCATTAAGCCCAATAACAATGGCCAACATACAGACAACACAACACAACACTACACACAGGGAAAAATGGGCGTGTGCGCATTGTAGGGAAATTTCCCAGCAAAAGTCCTTTGGCCTTACGAAAATTTCCCAAACATGCGCATCAGCATACGGTGCATATAGCTCTACTGCTCGCACACTCCTCCGATTGGTCGGGCGGCCATGACGCGCCCACCGGGCAGCGACGTCGACAGCGGCAGAGGGTATTACAAGTAAAAATTCGACCCTTTCCACTTACCATCTCCATTCTCCATTCCCATATAGGGATTGATGGTGTGAACGTCATGAGCGACAATGGAGTGCCCACTTTCAGAAGGCGGATGGGTGTGGCAGGAGTACCAGGACCAGCATTATAAAGGACCCTCCATATATACGTATACATTATATATCCCCCCATCCTTTATATAGATGGCGTCCAACACGTCATATAAGAGATTTTCCCTTTTTTCAATTGCTCTTTGGGGCTATACCCAAGTTGGCCTAATGTTCGCGTTGATTATGTATTTTCCCATATTTTATTTTTGGCTCCCTTAGTCGCTTACTCTCTCTATCCCTCTTTATCTGAGTGCTCGGGGTGTGTCCTTAGGCCACCTCTCTAAGGACACCCCCCATGTATTGGCATGTGAAGGATCTGAGCTAATCATGGGTTAGCTTATGAAATCGAAATTCAAATTGCACGAACACCGAGCAGCGGCGCAATCCTTGTATATAAGGGCTCTACTTTAGCGCCCAAGTGCTCTATAACAGTTCCGTTACACGCAAGAAATTGGATTCCGAAACTCAGCCATAAAATAAACTAAATGCCAGAGCATGATAGCATACCACTAACATGGTTAAGGGATATAGAACTTTCACAATAATAAAGTTTTTATAGCCGAAGTAGGTACTACAAATGTATGATATGATACTTAAAGAGTGTCTTTGAGTTCAGAAATGATTTAAAGTGTGTACTTGAAGTTATGCAAGCACTATGTTAAAGTTTCCTTAGTAAATTCACAAATTTAAGATATTCTTTATGCACATATGTGCCTCAAGATTCAAATATGCTTTTTAGTTCCGAGGAATTTTAGAAATCATTCAATGGGGTTGGAAGAATTGTATCTTTTAAACAACAAACTATATCGATATTAATTTAATCAGTATTAAAGATCTCTGATTGTAATAATAATCACTTTCCAAATCCAAAGATGTCCAGATTTGTTTATAACCCATATCGGTATTTATAGTGCCAAAACTATATCTCTAATAGCCACCTACAACTAAGCCGCGAAAGGTAAATCCCTAGCCAATCTTCCTTATCGTCCATGTCACTCAATAGGATAATGGGTTGATATCTCCATCTGATGATATCATATTGAGTTCCGACCACAAGCGCATGTCCTGCCCTGCTCATGCACACTTGTACCGGCGTCGTAAGTCGGTGGCAAGTGTGTAGTTCCTGGTCCAGAGGTCCAAAAGGTTCAGAGGTCCAGAGTTGCAGAGCACTGATAATGATAAATACAATATAATGACGCGGCGATTGTTGACAACATCAAGTGCAGAACAGAGCGGGACGGGGCGAACAGAATCCCAGAATCCCAATCTGGGAATGGGAATGGGAATTTCGTATACCTAAGGAGGTTCTCGAGGCGCTACAATGGCCCTCACACACACACACACACAGACACTGAGGGGACTGCTGCACACACACACTCTCACTCAAGTGGTACTCTTGAGAGCGGCAGAGAGAGCAACAGGAGAGAGTTAGAGCGGGACGGCGAGAGGACTCCGGCACAAGGACTCGCATTCAGATGCTCCATCTCGCTCTGGCGACGAATGGTGGTTGTTTTCCTTTGGTGGTTGAATGGGCCACTCACATTGTAGCCGTATCCTTGTTGAAAAGGACATGAGAAGCCACTTAGCGCGCCCAACAAAGCCGAGAGTCTCTCCACTCTGGCTATGTGTGTATGTGTGTGCGTATCTGTGTTATGTACCCAATGGCAGAGGGATGCAGACACAGATACAGATACAGATATGCACCACATACATAGAGATATACCCAAAGACACCCCGAGCATACGACCTGGTACTTTTCTGCCGTTGGTTGTTGGTTGTTGCTTGTTGGCCGCTTTGGACTTGGACTCGTGTCGAGTTCTTGATGCCTCGTTAGTTGTTGATGACACTTCAGTTTGGAATGTTTAGAGTGCGCTGCTCCGCGGATCCGTGCAACTGAGAAATCACAAAATCGAGATATCGACAATCGCGACCCATTGAACCAACGAACTTTCCTCTTGTTAATATACACAAAACATAAATCAAACACTATGCCAGGAATTTGAATTGCCCTCAAAAGGATACTTAAAACTACCAAGTGCTTGTGATATATCTATATATCTATTTTTTTTGGCGTGCTTCGATTAACGAAAAAAGCTCCAAAGTGGCGGAGAAACGCAAAAGTCCGCCCACGCCGCCGCCCGCGTCGCAGCGTCGCAAATCGAACAGTGGTTCCCCGATCTCGCCCAGCGATATGACCACCTCGGCCACGTCCCTGGAGAGGACTCCCTCGAAGCGGGAGCGGGACCGCGAGCGGGACAACAGCAGCGGTCTGGGCAGCGCCGGCAGCTTGCCCGCCTCACCGCAAAGTGCGATCACCGTGAGTCCCTCCTCCCCAGCCACGCCCAAGCGTCCCCTGCGCACCTCCACGCCCTCGATGGAGCGGGAAAAGGAGCGAGAACGGGAACGGGAACGAGAGCGGGAACGGGATCGTGAGGAGCGGGACAGAGATCGCGAGCGATCCGCCAAGGTCTTTAGCACCGCCAGCACCACCGTGCCCACGAATACGAGTTCCAGTTCCGGTTTGGCACCCGAACAGCTCCGGATTCCAACGGGAGCGGCGGCCTTCAGCGGATTCCCAGGACTACATAGCATGAGCAGCCTGATGGTTCCGTCGTCGGCGGCCGTTGCCGCCGCTGCTGCCGCCCCCTTCCTGCCCTGGTCGCCCATTCTGCTGCCGCCGTGGAGCCACGCCCTCCTGCCAGCCGCCTTCTATCCGGCGGCCCTGAGAAACGCTCTGCCCGGGTAAGCTCAAGGATTCGGTTGGGAAACGGGATAACTGGGGATCAACTGGGGGAGCAATATGATTGAAAAGGTTTAACTTCTCCAATTCTTTATAATCTTATTTCTTGCTTTGAACTTTGGTGATGAGACCTCTTTAATATTACGAATTCATGAACATAAAATATCATCTTAACTAAAAAATCACGATTAAAATGTATGATCTTAACTAAAACGAAAACTTTGACGAATAGGTATAACGTTCCCATATCTTCCCATACTATCTGTACATTCAAAAATTCTAAAATCATCGCAAAGCTTCTTATCAATAACTTGTTGTATTAAAACAAATATTTATAAAAAGCTTTACCATATGATCTTAACATAATTTACCCTGCACGATTCTATTTTTAAAAATTTGTTATATCCTTTTTCATCTTCCAAATTATGTCAAAGGTTTTGAACATTTGCGTAGACCCCTGAGAAAATGTACCACTAATTTCATTATAAAACTTTGGAATAGCCTTACTTCTCAAAATCCGCCCAACATTCTGATACAGTTTTTAAAGTTTTTATACCCGTTACTCGTAGAGTAAAAGGGTATACTAGATTCGTCGGAAAGTATGTAACAGGCAGAAGGAAGCGTTTCCGACCCCACAAAGTATATATATTCTTGATCAGGATCACTAGCCGAGTCGATCTAGCCATGTCCGTCTGTCCGTCTGTCCGTCTGTCCGTCTGTCCGTCTGTCCGTCTGTCTGTCCGTCCGGATGAACGCTGAGATCTCGGAAACTATGGGAGCTAGGCTATTGAGATTTGGCGTGCAGATTCCTGAGCTTTTTACGCAGCGCAAGTTTGTTTCAGCAATGTGCCACGCCCACTCCAACGCCCACAAACCGCCCAAAACTGTGGCTCCTACAGTTTTGATGCTAGAATAAAAATTTTAACTGAAATGTATTGTTCTCATCAATACCTATCGATCGACTCAAAAAAAAGTTTGCCACGCCCACTTTAACGCCCACAAACCGCAAAAACCTGTGACGCCCACAATTCTTAAGCTAGATAAAAAGTTTTAACTGAAATGTATTGGTCTCGGCAATACCTATCGATTGATCCAAAAAAAAAAATTTGCCACGCCCACTCTAACGCCCATAACGCTTAAATCTGTATACCGCCGGTAGGTGGCGCATTTTAATCTCGCTTTGCTGCTTGCATATCTCCATTTAGCTGAGTAACGGGTATCTGATAGTCGAGGTACTCGACTATAGCGTTCTTCCTTGTTTTTAAGTATTATATGAGTTTTGATCAGTTAGTTTTTTATAGCCTTAATTAATCCTTATCGAGGATATTAAGACGTGTATTAACATCTAAACGACAAAACTAATGAATTTGGTCAAATAGTTGGTATAAGCTTTATCCAGATAGGATATGCAGATAGTTAAATCTGTGGTATATCTACCTTGAGCTGCAATGGCCCTCGCTTAAGCTCCGACTCAAGATCACACCCCTGCGAGCCCCTGCCTCCTATCAGTTTCTAGATCCCATCCAGCTAATGGACTTGTCCGGCTAATCCAAAAATTAGCCAAGTCCCGCAGAGCGACCAGATACCAGAAACCAGATACAGGACGTAATTCCCCCGTCTTTCTGATCTGGCAAGTACTCAAGGTTCTGGCGACTGGCGGTTGGTTTGGGAAATTCTGGCTTGTTGTTCGGGCCTGGCTTAGAAATTCCCAATTCCCGTAGGTGAGTGCCAGGGAAACCCCAATCGGCGGCGACATGTGTGCGGCAGACTCAGAGATCCTGGCGTCACACTGTCTGGCCAAGGGAATTCCGCACAGGACGACGGGGAATGCCCCGTGTACCGTGGGAAATTCGCGAGTCCGGGCTCTGTTCGGTTTGGGAAAAACTCCCAACTCGAGTTGGGAAAACCGGAAGCAGACGAACTTGCGCCAACATGTGGCACGACCTGTTTCGACCTGAAGACTCGTCCCTGAGCTGACCTGATCTGACCCGTAGTTCTCGCACTGACCCGAGCAGGTAGTTCATAACGATCCCGAGCGGATTTGCGTTTAATTGTTGATGGTATTAGGAAAATCAAAACTCGGTTTCTGACCGGGACTAGGTGTCAATAATCCAGCGATTTGCGTGCACTTAATCGAAGTTAATTCCGGGGGAAAGGTGCGAGTTCTGCGATCTAAAAGGATATGGGATGGTGTCTATAGGATACACATCCTATCCTATCCCTATCCCCCTCCTCCTTCTCCAGGGCAAGTGGGAAAATCTGTGAAAGTCAGAGCGCGGGCAGGTAGTTCAGGTAGTGTTCCCTTAGCAGATCCTTGCCAAAGGACCTCCCTTTGTTGCACCTTCCGGCCATTCATAAGATCGACACCGGATGTCGCTGCAATGAGCATGCTAAATGCTAAACAGGATGACAATCTTCAGAGGCCCCTTCTGAAGTCATTAATCACAGCATTCGATGGCCATTTGTCGGGGGCAATTAATAAAGTATACGAATATTCAAGTTCAACTACTGACAATTCATTTTTCGCTTAAAATATTTTTTTAAAGATGTATTTTAAGTCAAGAATAAATTCTGACAATTTATATTCACTATTATGATACGAAAAGGAAGAACAAGTTATAGATGTTCATCCTTTGAAGTAGGCTTTTCCAATTTCACTGTCAGTTTTATTTAAGATTCAGATCTTATAATTTTTTTAAGTTAGCCGCGGGCAGTTGCAATGGAGGAATTCCTTGCATATTTTGGGTATTTCAAAAATGCCTTTAAATAACTTAACTTCAAAACTGATTTTTTAAACATTTTAAATGTACACATATACTTTTAAATGATCTAATAAATAATGCCCGAATTTATTGATCATCTTGCAGCTTGTTCGATGCAAAGGTGCCGTCATCGCAGCGCTCTGGCTTCCACATATCGGACATCCTGAATCTGGAGGGTTCCGAGCTGAAGAATGCCGCTGCTGCCGCGGCCGCAGCCGCTCAACATGGCAGTGACTTGAGCCACCATTCGGCCAGTGAGTCCACCAATGGACACGGTGGTCAGGGTGGAGCCCATGCCACGCCCTCGGCCCTCTCGCCCACGCCCGCCGGCGGTTCGGTGGACGAGCACCACAATGGCAGCGGGACAGGCGGTGGTGGATCGGATCACCACAGCACCACCGAGCATCACGCCCAACAGCAGCCGCCGAGCCACCCACAGCAGCAGCAGCACCACCCGCACCACCACCAGCAGCAGGCGGCGCACCACCTCCAGCAGCAGCACCTCCCGCACCACCAGCAATCGGTGGCCCCACTCCCACTGGCCCACCACCAGGGCGGGCCAGATGCACAGAGCCACGCCCACGCGAACGCAGCCGCCGCCCACCTGCTGGCCAGCCACAATGCCGCGGCTGCTGCAGCGGTGGCCGCCGGCCAATACCTGCCCAATCTGCCCAAGAACTTCCCGGGGAGCTTCGGGGACGAGATGTCCTCGTACCACCACATGGCCCAAACCATGCTCCAGCACTCGGGCAGGAGTGCGTGGATCAAGGAGAACGAGCTATACGGTGAGTTTAGAGTTCTATTTGAAAGGGTTTGATGGGGTCTCAATGATTTTGGACGACCATGCTATAAGCCTAAAGTAATTCTTAATAGGTATTTTGATCTTGAGTTATGCCTATACGGCAAGGATTATAAGTTTCGATGTTAGTCTATTTGGGGAACTTCCAAAGCATAAAATCATATCATATATTATTTTTTTATTAATATATATGGTGTAGGATCTTATTTGATGATGCTGTATGTCCTGGAAACAACAAATGATGCTCTTAGCTTAAGCTTAAGAACTTGTAGATCCTTAAAAAAATGTCACCATTGAGTTGCTGGTAAATTCCAAATAAGAAACACTTGATATATAACATAGGATATGGTCTATGATCATAAATCTTAAGGTAGCTGAAAAACTGGAGGATCCCCAAAAAATCATGATTGAGTTTCATTAAAATCCCTAATAAAGGATTTCCCTGCTTTCTACTGCATTTAACCCCCGATTAACTGGCCGACTAATGATATTGTTCCGTAATTGCCCACTCACTCCTCCAGAGAGCGAGAGTTCCTCCGGAGGGCAGTCGAGCGATGAGGCAGCTGTGTTTGCATACCCCGCGGATTCGGCAGGATTCAGGTGCTGCCAGGGAGTGGAGTGACGAGCCATGTCTGATCCTGGCCCTCTTGTTTTTTTTTTGTTTTCTTTTTTTTGCTTTCCTCTTTTTCACTTTTCACTCACTCGTTGGCAGTTAACTGCGGATCGTAATGGGTGGGGGGGTTGGACTTCCCCCTTTTTAATCTTGACTAATAGTTTGTATGCGCTTCACACTTGAGGATTAGCCTTCGTGTCCTTCGGCCAGGACACTCAATCGTTGGCCCGTTCGATTCGACGGCTCCTTGTTGTTGCGGCCCAAACATTTCTCGTCCTGGAAATTTATGGCACGCACTTCCGCCTGGGGTCTCTCTTTCCCTATTTTTATTATTATGCCTTTTTTGTTTAGCTACAAATTATAATTGCTGCCCGCTTGCCGTTTTTTTTTTCTTGTCTGCTCTTTTTTTTGGGAATTTTCACAGCTGTGAAGGAGTCGAGGAGGAGTCGTTTTGATTATATTAAGTTATTAATTTGTTGAGTTGTCATGGTGAGCGGATGGGTTCCTTTTTTTTGGCAGGGCAACTGCAACCAAGTCCTTGGTTTGGAGGAGGGGCCTAATGGATGAGCATTAGCAGCTCCTACGACATTTGGATTTTTTGTTTAGTCAATGGGGTACACTGGGGGTAATGGTTTTCAGGCGTTTAAGAAACCCATAGAAAAAACCTCTCATATTATAGTCTTATAAAAATAATAATAGTAATTATTAGAAAGTCCCTTTTATATTCCAAAATATCCCATAACTTCTTTGTATTATTCCTAAACGGGATTTCCCTTATGAATACTCTCAAATACCTCATCCTGCGGTTGCCATGATCCCGCCCCAGAATATCATATAAAGCCACGCCCGGCGATAAATCACTATCTCTGCGGAACTCTATCAAAAGTGGGCGAACCGGAAGATCCCCGACTGCCATTGATGTGTTTGAGGTTTGGCTTTTGTGTTGTCCTTTCATTAGCATCCTGGTTCCTGGTTTTTAGTACAGGCCCGAAGGTCAGCAGTCAGTCAGTCAGTCGGTCGGTCGGCGGGAGATCGAAACGATCGTAGATCCAGGTAGACAACGAGGGAATTCCTCCCTATATACATATGTATGCGATCTCTGTTTGTCTCCGCCTAATTGACGTTATTAGGGTGAGACTCCTAGGGGATGGGGGCAGGGGTTGATTTGACACTATGCATCTGGCATTTAGCATTTGGCATTTTGGATCGTATCGACCACAGCCTCATGTCGCGCCTAATCCAATTGCCGTAGTTGCCATCCTGACTTTCCCCCTTTTCTCGTGTCGAATTCTGCTCGATCACTCGGTTTTTAGAGGGGTGTGTTCGGTGCATTAATTTACGGCCCAAAAGGTATTTCAATTGCTGACAAATTCCCACCCAGCTCTCTCACTTGGCCTTTGTCTTCTTGCATTTTCTATTTTTTTTTTTTGAGCTGTCTTTAGTGAAAAACCCAAACAAATGGTTGGCATTCGGGCGCCTAAGTGAACAAAAATGATGTTTGCTATTTTATGGAATTCCTAAACGATTTATTGTTCGTTTTAAAGGGTATTAAGAATCTCTATTATATTGATAATTTTATTATGAGCAGATATATAAACCCTTGCCTTCTTGTTCTTGTTATTTTTAGGAACCCAGCAGCCAGCCAGTCCGGATAGCACTTCTCCGGTGACCTCGGAGGTATCGTACACCTACATTGGATCAAATTGCCAGACATCGCCGGCACTTTCCGGCGATTACAAGAGCTACAGCCGATCGGCGGACAGCGATGCCTTGTCCGTGGGCGATGCCCTGCACTCGCTGCATGGATCATCCTCGGCCAATCAAGGGGGATCAGCTGGTGGTCCTTCGGCGGCCCATGCCCTGCACAACAATAACAACAATACGACGAACAACAACAATAACAATAACAGCCTGAAGCACGAGGGGATCAATGGAGCAAGCAGTGGTCACGATGATAGCCTAAATGAGGACGGTATCGAGGAGGACATCGATGATGTGGACGATGCCGATGGCAGTGGCGGCGGTGGGGCCAATGGACCCGATGGTCTGCCCAATAAGAAGCGAAAGCGCCGAGTTCTCTTCACCAAGGCGCAAACGTACGAATTGGAGCGTCGATTCCGGCAACAGCGCTACTTGAGCGCCCCGGAACGGGAACATCTGGCCAGTTTGATCCGACTGACGCCGACGCAGGTGAAGATCTGGTTCCAGAACCATCGCTACAAGACGAAGCGGGCCCAGAACGAGAAGGGTTACGAGGGTCATCCGGGATTACTGCACGGTCATGCCACCCATCCGCATCATCCGAGCGCCCTGCCCTCGCCCCGTCGGGTTGCCGTGCCGGTTCTGGTGAGGAATGGTAAGCCCTGCCTGGGTGATGGTTCCAAACTGGGAGCCGATTGCGTATCCGTCTCATCAGCCACCGCCACCGCCATGCAAAATGCCGCCGCCGCTCATCATCTGGTGGCCCTGAACGGAGCAGCCGCCTATCAACATGCCGCCGCTGCTGCCGCCGGTCTTCATGCCCATGCCCACGCCCATGCCCATGCCCACGCCCACGGCCACGCCCATCCGCACGCCCACGCCCAGAGGGCGGCCTGGTGGCCCTAATATTGCTAGGATATGATCCGATCCGATCTGATTCGATCCGAATTGATCTGATCTTTACGGGCCTGGAGCCACTCGAATAGGTGGATAGATATGAACCCTTGGTGCAATAAATCAGAAGACCAGGCCCCCAAGATCCCCGGAGAAGCCAAAAAATAACTAAACATAAAATATAATTGATACATATATAGATCACAACTAGTTCATAGTCTCACAGATTCCCACTTTGAGTCATTCCTGTACATAATTTAGTAGGCAAGAGCCCCAAAAACGATTATATATATGAACTAAACTAACCCCAAGACCTGAGCTCAAGAGCTATAGGTCCACTTAGTCAGGGGTAACCTCTATATTAACATAAAACCCATTCCTGAATATAAACAAAAATGCCCATGACAAAAGTATACTGTTCATTTTCTTTTGATTAAATGTTATATTTATATTAGTATGTCTTGTCATTGGGCATTTAGGTCCCATAAAATCCCCCGTTTTACTGCACTAAAGTTGATAATACTTATAAAATGTAGAATTAGGCACCATTTTTTTTTAAATTTTTTTTCTAGACCTAAGTTAAAAAATCTAAAAAAAAACATTTTGTAAATATTAAAATGAAAAAAAGCATGTAACTAAGATTATTCCAAAATAAAAACTTATAAAAGGCAATGCAACTACATCTGTACTATATATCTTAATATTAAAGTCAAGCATAATTAGTGTTCAAATTTTTTAGAAAGAATTTAATGACCCATTTTTTTTGTATACATATATAATATAGACACTTAGTCTTAACCGATATTTTTTTTCGTGTGTGTGCGTGTATAGCGAGTAAAAGAAAACTCTTTGAATTTATAGCCAGTAATGAGTTCATAAATGTTAACAAAAGACAAGGACAGGACGCAGACAGAGACGGCAAATGTATTCCAGACAGAAAGCAAAGCGAAACAAGAACACTTCAAACTGAAAAATACATTTTAGAAATTTAATAAAAACCATTTACAAAAATTACAAAAGAAAATGTTTTACTATTACCATACCGGGGAAAAGTAATTAATGTCATCTGGAAAATTGGAATGTTGTTGAAAAACTTAAAAAGCACTCTAAAATGTATTGAAAAATGTTATTGTTCAACGACTTATAGCCCTTTATGCACTTTATGGGATCGTAAATGGCACCCTCCGCCGCATTTTGTAGGTCTACGTATCGCTGGGGCGTATAAACATGTTGGACAAACCATAAATATCGACTTGATTATGGTTGTTAGCTACCGTTCTGCGATTGGCATCGTAATCCGTCCAGTTCGCTTGATTACGGCACCAAAACAATTTTTAGGATTGGGCATTGGTAGGTAGATCAGGGGGAATAGAAGAGCCAGGGGGCTAAACCATAAAGCCAGTGGGTCCGATCCGATAACAGGGGCCCAGACCCGGATAGAAATAAGGGGTAATCAACGGGAACCTTAACTCGACAGCGCGGCTTGCGGATCACTCTGTCTGGTGGCTTCGATTTGGAGCCGATTAACTGGCCATCAGGCGCATTATACCCATATACACACCCATATAACCAATCAGTTTTTTGAAGATATAGACCGCCGGCACAGATATCTCGCTCTGCGCCGCTTGACACATTTGGCAAATAAAGAACTCGAAGTCAAGTAGAGGCGCTGGAGTATCTCATAAAATAAAACGAGTGCTATTCTAATAAACGACAAATTAAATTACTCATCAATGGAATACTGGCACTTGGCACAAGTGGACCCACATACCTCTCGAACATCCACCCACCCAATTCGATTTCGGCCCGATTCGATTGATTCACGCTGATCACAGCTAGCATAATGTCAATAATATTTGTGCGATGCGGTGCGCTGTATTAATAAACATCAAGTGGGGCCCCAGTCATATATGTGTATTGCAGCAACCCGAAACCGGGAATGGGAATACGAAATCGAAACGCTCTCTTTTACACGGGTCATAAACTCAACAACTGCACCTCAAGTACCATAAATATTGCCCCTACATACGCCGCGGCCTATAGTTATTCACCACTTGGTTAATTATATTTTTACGATCGGACTTGTTTTTGTTTGGATCCATCTCAATTGGAAGCACTGACCACGGAGAAAGCTCTTGCTTATCACTGGGCCACCACCATGACCAATGGTCATGATTGACACTCAAGAAAATGTGATCAAAGATCAGTAATTAACCGGGGGATTACGTAAGCTCAGGTAATCACTCTGTTTTTAAGTGGCACATGAGTGATATTCTAGTCATATTTTAGGCGAATATTTAATTAAATATTATATTATTACATTATAAAAATGCTAGAGTTATTAAAAGTCGATAATCCATAAAATGTATAGTTTATAATTTTTAGGGCACATCCTTATAGATGCATTCTACGAGAAAGCCACCTATGTATATCCATTACAGGATTCCCCACTTGTCCATCGAAAATCGTAGCACGCAGTGGGCTCTCGGGCAGCAAATTACCAGAAGTACATAATTGCTGCACCCGTTTATGGGGCCCATAACCCGTTTGAATGGCCAGCAGGCCAATATATGTGGCCATAAAGCCACCGATTAGCGATATCCGGAGGTGGAGGATGGTGAGTACTACGAGTGGGAGTGTCAGAAATCCAAGTACAGCCCCTAATCGTCGCCTAATCATTTGCATACCCATATCGCACGGATCGAATCGGATCGGACAGGATGTTGATTGTGGCAGTGCGTATATACATATAGTAAGCGTACGTAAACGAGTATATGGCCCCAGCGAGTACATTTCAATACAATTCAATGATCTAGATTAGAGTGGGCCAGTGATATAGCCCTGGTGGACTGAAAGCCAGCAGCAGTTCAGTTGGCACAATCGTGAAATAAACTAATAATATTTACCCCCGCCACCCCCCAAGATCCTCAACCCCCTAAATATAGTATATACCATATCGATAAGCCCGATTCCCACTGCCTGTTTGGCTGTTTGACTGTTGGACAACCCGCGACGTTTACACGCTGCGCCAAGCTGATTGCCCACTCCCCGGAATCCCCATACCCCGTACTGCTCCCCCGACGGTATCAGCTATATGTCTCACAACTGCTTGGACAGTTATTTGGTCCGATCCGATCCGTTTCGTTCCGCCCGCCTCCTCCTTCGTCGATTACCCACCTGGTCAAGCATGCATGACCGTCATGTCAAGTACAAACGTGCAGCTTATCGGAGTGTTAGGGGTCTGTTCCGGGGGGGTCGGGGCTTCCAGATGGATTCCATTTCCATTTGTAGGACACGGCTGGCACCTTGCTTAGTATTTACTTTTTCTTTTCCACGAATCCCATTTTCTATGACACCTCCTTATCAACATGCCTTTAAATCATTGTTTGTCGTTTAATTCTCTTGTATTCTGTTTTAACCCTTGCACTTTTGAATAATTTTCTGCAATAAGGCAACCCAAAACACCGATCCTGACTTTAATTTACAAGAGGGTCAACATTTTCAGAATGGGAACCCAAAACTACACTTCTAGATTCCATAACATGAGTTATAGGATCCCCACTTTCATGTGGGATACCTCTATGAGTTTGTGGTTGAAATATCTAATATTCTACATTTAAATATTTAAATTACAAGAGGGTCAAAATTTTATCCCATTCTCATGTCCGATTTTTGTGTATTTCCAATGGCTTTTAGAATAAGAACCCAAAACTGCACTTCTAGATTCCATAACTTGGGTAGTTGGATCCCGATTTCCATGTGAGATGCCTGTAAGAGTTTGTGGTTGAATTCTCTAACATTCTACATTTAAATATTTCAATTACAAGATGGTCACAATTTTACCCCATTCTCATGTCAGATTTTTCCGTATTTCCAATGGCTTTCAGAATGGGAGCCCAAAACTGCACTTCTAGATTCCATAACTTGAGTTATAGGATCCCGATTTTTATGTGGGATACCTCTATGAGTTTGTGGTTGAATTCTCTAAAATTCTACATTTAAATATATCATTTCTAAGAGGGTCACAATTTTACCCCATTCTCATGCCAGATTTTTCCGTATTTCCAATGGCCTTCAGAATGGGAGCCCAAAACATCACTTCTAGATTCCATAACTTGAGTTATAGGATCCCCACTTTCATGTGGGATACCTCTATGAGTTTGTGGTTGAAATATCTAAAGTTCTGCATTTAAATATTTCATTTTCAATATGGTCACAATTTTAGCCCATTCTCATGTCAGATTTTTCCGTATTTCCAATGGCTTTTAGAATGGGAGCCCAAAACTGCACTTCTAGATTCCATAACTTGGGTAGTTGGATCCCGATTTCCATGTGGGATACCTCTATGAGTTTGTGGTTGAATTCTCTAATATTCTACATTTAAATATTTAAATTACAGGGGGGTCCAAAATTTAGCCCATTCCCATGTCAGATTTTTTCGTATTTCCAATGGCTTTCAGAATGGGAGCCCAAAACTGCTCTTCTAGATTCCAAAACTTGAGTTATAGGATCCCGATTTTCATGTGGGATAGCTCTATGAGTTTGTGGATGTAATATCTACAATTCTGCATTTAAATATTTCAATTACAAGAGGGTCCCATTTTTAGCCCATTTTCATGTCAGATTTTTCCGTATTTCTAATGGCTTTCAGAACGGGAGCCCAAAACTGCACTTCTAGATTCCATAACTTGAGTTATAGGATCCCGATTTTTATGTGGGATACCTCTATGAGTTTGTGGTTGAATTCTCTAATATTCTACATTTAAATATTTCAATTACAAGAGGGTCCCAATTTTAGCCCATTTTCATGTCAGATTTTTCCGTATTTCTAATGGCTTTCAGAACGGGAGCCCAAAACTGCACTTCTAGATTCCATAACTTGAGTTATAGGATCCCGATTTTCATGTGGGATGCCTCTATAAGTTTGTGGTTGAATTCTATAAAATTCTGCATTTAAATATTTCATTTCCAATATGGTCAAAATTTTAGCCCATTCTCATGTCAGATTTTATCGTATTTCCAATGGCTTTCAGAATGGGAGCCCAAAACTGCACTTCTAGATTCCATAACTTGAGTTATGGGATCCCGATTTTCATGTGGGATGCCTCTATAAGTTTGTAGTTGAATTGTCTAATATTTTAAAGTCAAATATTTCGTTTGAAAGAAGGTCAAAATTTTAGCCCATTCTCATGTTAGATTTTTCCGTATTTCCCATGGTTTTCGTAAGCCACACGTAATCGTATTTGTAATGATAAACTAATAGGTGATTCATTCTGGTGTTATGCATACAACAAATCACAATGACTGCTTTTTTTCGATGGCCGAGACTAGAAATTGTTTACAGGGGAAATCCAGCTATATGTAATGTAAGACTTCCCTTGTTTGCCCAGCTCTTTTCACGCGAATTGGGTAATGAGAACAAGGTGATTCCGAAACGGAATCGAAATCGGAGATCCATAACAAGGATCGTGGGGGCGCCTCGGGACACTTGTGATCCAAGATCTTTGGCATTGAGCAGGTGGTTGGGGAATGCATTGCTCACAACACTTGATCCGGAGACGATTTCCGAATGGTCAAACCCGAGACTGAAACTCCTCGAATTTGGCATTGATAAAGCTACGGACATCGGACATCGGCGACACAGATATAGTCTAGATACAGATACTGGAATCGCACTGCCAGTTTGTAATGAAAAATTGATTAAAGCACGCACACACTTGTTATATATAACATACATATATATATATGGATGGCATACGTAGACGGACCGATCAAATAATAAATTTATCACAAAATAAACGTGGAAATTAAACACTGAACAGAACAGACCGAACCAAATCAGGCCAGGAACCACAAAGCAGAAAAGGGGTAAATAAATGAGATTACAATTAATAAAATAATCGATAAGTGGCCATGCAGTCACCCACAAACATACATAAATATATATCTGTATATTTTTATATTGGTGGGGTGGGGTGGAGATTGTAGGCCCAAGTTAATTACGCTTTCTGATTTGCCGTAACCACTCGACGTATTGCAGATTGCCAGGCGTAGTGCCCCACAGATTGGTTCCCAGGCCATCCATTGTTATCCCACTGCAGACCGGAAAAATACATTTGAATTCCTGATCAGTTATTTTGGAATGCCTATAAAACTAGTCTCGATTATTAAAACTGAAAAATAGCAAACATATCTTAAGAAAGGGTTTTAAAATCTATGAAAAAATGAAAGCTTTGAGGCTTTGACTTAGAAAACACTACCGATGATTCATGTGATATTTACCAACACTTTTTAAGAAGACAGTGTTAAATAAGGCTTATTTTATAAGCTCTAGGGAGCACTATAAACCTTTTACAGCGAAAACACTGGGAGTACTCCCAATTTTTATACATACGTAAACCATCTTTGCAATCTATTTTATGCGATGCTACTTCTATCTGAAACTCAAACAATATTATAGTGCAAAATAGCACAATTCAAGTGATATAAAATCAACAAAGTTCAATAATATAATAACATATAATAGAGGAATACGGATTTGGTACTATATTATCTACATGTTATTTTAAGGCTAAGGTTTTGGTACTTTAAAGTTTCAGAGAGATGACCTTTTACCACAAATGTCCTTTGTATTTCCTGACTGTCAAATGGCTGACCGTTTGATTTGCCTCCTGGCAGGACTCGTGTCCGCAGGCCAAATGCAATTTTAATGACCAAACTCTCGGGCGAACACAAAGTCCTGATCCCGCCCTGGGAAAAATGGGGTTTACAAAGTCGCGGGACGCAATTCTAATTAGCCAATGCGGGGCCATAAACCGCCGGAAAGGGCGGGAAAAACCAGTGGGTGGCGGGAGGCTGGGGGAAAAATCAAATCAAATTAAGTCGCCAGTTGATGGCGCATTTTACAGTATTTTTTTTTGGGAAGGAGGAGAACGCGCGGCGGATGGCGTTTTTAATAATGTTGTTGCTCATTTCGCGACCAGCGTCATTATCAGCATGTAATTTCTCATTTTCATAGTCAATTAAGTCAATCACACGCCCTTTTAGCCACCGCAAGAGGCCTTCGGAAAGCTGAAAACCGAATGCTGAAGGCCGAAAAGCATTGAAAGCCACCCCCTGGAAATTAACACGTTGGCGGTGGTGTGTTTCCGTTTCCGCTTTTGCCCCCCCGCCCCCTTTGTTTATTTGTAACGCAATTTGGAAGCGCCGCACCGCGTCGCTCGCGTTTATTGCTCAATTTCGACAAAGGGAATTACGTATTCATATGTATACTCATCGGGCTCATCGATGAGCGATGGAGGATGACTGGATGGATTCGGAGACCCGGGAAAAGTACACCCACCCTCACTCAAGGCAATAACTGTAACAATTTCAAGCACTAAAAGGACACGTGGCAGCTGCTTTTAAAATTGAATTTCCTGCCATGTAATCTTGTCCAGAGTCAATTGTTTCTGTATTTCTGTGTGTGGGTTTTGCACCACCCCCTTGTTTTTCCACCCGCACGTGCCACATTGTTTTTTTTTTTTTTGTTTTGTTTTGGAAGGTTACCCCCCCCAACTTTCCAACTTTTGGGTGCGCCGCGGTCACACTTTCTTATTTATGAAGATGCGGCCAATATGTTGACGATTTGCTGACCCAGAGATACCCAAAAAGTTTACTTAATGGGTGTGAATGAGGTTTTGTGCATTCACAGATTGACTTTCTAATGGGGTGTGAACAGCCGGGGGGTGGCAAAATTCGAAATTGGGAAAAGCAACGATGGCGATACGGATGGAAATGGTGGGATCAGCAGGTCTTTGCGGGATCTGAAATGGTTAATTAATCGGGGGGAGATTAGGCATCGAGGAATAATAAATATCAGATGAGGTAATTGAAAACGTATATATCAGTATAATAAATATCAGATGAGGTAATTGAAAACGTAACAAGGTAACAGGATAAATGTTGAACAAAGTTAATTAAATAACAATAATACAAATTGAATAAAAACTGGCTTATTTTTGCGACCTCTCTATTTGGTTATAGAGAAGTTCAGCCAAGTGTTTTTGAAAATTAGACGAAAATTGGCTAATAACTGAAAATATTATTAGTTCCCAGTTTTCTATGCTGAATTGATAATATTATCCCATCAGAACACACTTTAAAGACATTTAAACCATATTTTAAGGGTGATATTTTTTAAAATAAAAGTTTTGATGGTTTCATTTCGCATATCCCGAGATTCCCACAATTCTAGCAGCCTTTCCCACTGATTCGATGTTCACATGCCTAATTAACATGTCAATAACTCGAGAAAGGGGACCAGAAAGATGACTTTACCCCTAATGAACGCAGAAAGAGACAGGAGAACGCCAAAGGACAGAGACAGGACGAGGGGAGTTGCGTGCGGAGCCTCGAAACGTGCGCCATTAAAAAGCCACGAACATCAATTTAAATATTGCATTACCATGATTTGCATAAAGGGCGCACGCATACCTCATAATAAACATACTATGTACTTTGTACACCCCCTTCTCAGCCGCGAAATCACAGACAAAACAAAGGGAGAACCCATTAAACCAATATAAATTTGCACTTTCACATGACCCCGGCGAGTGGCTCTGGGCATATTCTGTTTATATGTATACCCGGTGGTTGCTGCGGTGTCGATCGACTAATTTGAATTTGAATGCGCTCAGGCACCACTGCACCTTTGCGCCACCTTCCCACGACATCGATACGATACTATCCTGTACGATACGATACCGATACGATCCTAACCATTAGCAGACAAAAGAACAGCTCGCGAGACACCTGTAAAGGGGTGGCACTGAGCAAAATAAATATTTCTGTTGCCTGGAACATATAAAATAGATGGGTTCTAATTAAGTTTAGAGAATTATCAAGGGTACGCAATCATCTAGTTTTTCTTTTTTATAAACATAACATATATATTTTCATAAGAAAACAAGCTAATGAAAATGTTTACAATCACACAGGCCTTGCTTTCGAAATTCGGAGCTGTCAAAGTCTGGCCCCAGACCCAGAGCCCAAATTTCTCAGTCGTTTTGTGTACTCCATTGCGTTAACACCTAAAATAAAAAGCCAAAAAAAATGGCAGTCCCTGTGGTGAGTGAAAAAATACAAATTATTTTCTCGAAAAAAGTGAACAAAAATCAGTATACAAAAAATAAACACTATATTTTCTAGGCGGCCGAAAATTTCAGGCGTGGGATTTTCGGAAGAGGCCAGGGGACAAGTGTACTCGACACTTTTGCAGTTTCACGGGGTTTCTTGCCGGTAAGTAAAGCGTTTATTATCGAGTGACTAAAAAATAAAGCCCGTTTCATTATAGTCTACACAAATCAACACTAATTGAATGGAAATGCGTCTGGACTACATACACTCTGAACTGCCCAATAACCATCCTCTTCTATCATCATCATAATCATTCTCAACGCTGCAAAAATAATACAAGAATGCTATAATACGAACGCTCATAATCTCAACTACACGGAAAATAATACGAAAAGAATAATATAATACGAACGCTCATATAATATCAACGCTGCGAATAATAATATAAAACTGCTATAATACGGATTACTCGAATCTGGAATACACTAATGCAAGAATAGTGTGGTGCGTAGGCTGAACTCTTAGAAAAATAACACAAGACTGCTATGACACGGAATACTCGAATCTGGAATACAATAATGCAAGGAAACTGTGGTGCAAAGGCTAAACTCTGCGAAAAATAATGACATCTATGATACGGAATACTCGAGTGTGGATCACAATAATACAAGGATACTTTAGGACAAAGGCTAAACTCTGCGAAAAAAAATGCTGCTATATACGAATCGTTGGACTGGAATCTGCTGCGCTAATTGGATGTAATCCTTCCCACTTTGTTTAGTACACAGATTTTGTTTGCGATATCTCTGAATGTCTTAATAAAACGTAAACGTCAAAGAGGATACAATTTTTTTCAGTGTAAGGAAAAGGTGTGCTTATTGGGGGGTTACCCACTCCTTGAGAGGGTTCAATCTTTTTGGCCTTTTATTGCATTATTATTGGTAAATAAACAAAAGCAACCGGCAGACAAAGCAAACACGATCGCAAGAAGAAAATCTGGCAGGGAAATCAATCAATGAAAAAGAAATTGGAAATGGAAAGGCTCTTCGGTGGCAATTAGCGACAAGCGGCGATCCTGGTGGCGTTGGAAAAGCGAGTGAACGGAAGTCATTAAAAGGGTTGCCTTGGAGTGTGTCCCGAGTCCGTGCCCCACCCACTGACCTTTGACCCCGCCAGCGAGCATTTGTGTGTGTGCGCCGCCTAATTGCCCACGACTAAAAGGGGTTGGCGTTACCTCGAGGGTCTGATCGGTAATTCGAGTAGACACGCTCCCAAAAAGGCGGATAGAGTGGACCCTGGAGAGTCGGAAATTATAGGTAATCTCCAATATATTTGGGAAATTTCCCGACAAGTGTCAGATCTGCGTAAATTTCTGAAAGATAAATAAAGAGTAAAGCGATATTAGATGAAAATTGAACAGTCATTACTTGGGATTTTTATTTTTAAAGGGCTACTATGAATATTTTGGGTTTTCTTTTTAAATGTTTCTGATTATGAGTAGAAATAGTGTTATTTTGAATATTCTTTTATTATTATTTTTGGTCCCTTGGTTAAAATACTATACACACTCATTAAAATATATTTATAGCCTTTTATATGTATGTATTTTTTTTTTGTAACAGCACAAGTAAAAGCAAGGACCTCTGACCATCAGTCTTGGAAAAATCAGGGTCAGAGGTTCGGTCCTTGGAGTAGAGACGCCCACCAAGTGGTCAGCCCAGCGAACTCCGGGTAACTCCATAAATCAGGGGGCCAGGAGGGGGCTACTGCCGGACAATTGACGTCAACAATAAGTAACAATGATGTCAACTTGTAATTGAATTGATTGACAATATTTTATGTGGAACCAGAGGCCAGCAGCGCGACATTTCCGGCGACGAGGGATCCAAGGACCCTTAATGACAGAATTTGTTTAGATTAGCATTAATCGGGGGTGTGGAGGGGTTGGGGTGTTGTTGTTCGATGGACCACTGGGTGAGTGGCCATAAAAAACGATAAGGAGATTCAATAAAAATACTTTAAGCGGAAAAACAAACTTGAATGGCGATAAAAAAAAAAAGAAAAAGCAAACACACAAAGGGGCAACTCCGCCCGGACGATTGAAAGGGCGCAAAAAGGAAAAGAAAAGCCAGCAAGGACATGGACAATATGTGCAGGACAGCCCCTTTTCAGGACGGGAAAGAAAGAAACTGCGCTTTTTAACTAATGAAATCGTTTGCTAAATGAAACGTGAAAAGTCAAATCAAATGAAACCCAGTCAGGGTTTTTTTTCTTCCTTTTTTTTCTCGCCAGCGGAAGCGGAAATGTGTCGCCGTTCAGTGGCAGACAGGACCAAACAAGACCAACAAGAAGCAACAAATAACTGAAAAATTTTAAAATCCAATCTCGACTGCGGTTACGCAAAAACCAATTTAAATCCACTTGAGTGGCAAAGTTTGCTCGATTTTTGAATTGGGTCTGGGATTTTGGATTTGGATTCAGTTTTGATGTGTGGCTAACTGTGTGTGCGTTTCCGTTTCCGGGAGGTTGAGAAAATGGAGAAATTGCGGAAAAAGGGGGGTGGCAACGGCACAGTCACTGCGGTCTGCACTCGGCTGTGCGATTAATTTGCTGATTTATTCGCAACGGAAGGGTTGCTTAATTCCCGCTGACGGCTCTTTTATTTATTTACTCATCCAGCCTGGACGCAAAACAAAAGTAACTAACATGCACCCAGTCCATAGACCACAGGGGTCGCAAAACAGGTTTCAAAGGGATGTACGAAAAAAACCTTTGCTGAAATTACGTTTAAGATTAAAATATCATTGTATATACAAATCAGAAGGCACACAAAACAGAAGGTACCTATATAAATATTATTATTTTACTAAATATTATTGATTACTTACTAACTAGAAACAAGTTTGTAGTGAATTATTCATAATTTTCATGAGTGTTGGTCTCTGTATCTTATTATTTTATCGAATTTCAATGTTATGTATTCTACGGTAATCCATGTTTCCATCAGTTACCTCAAGATAGAGGCGAGGAATAATTTTCAGCGGGCCAAAAAGTTTATCGTGGATGCCTTCGCTTTGATTCATTTTCCTTCTTGGGTTCTTTGCCCGCTTTAGTTTTCGCTCTTCTCTTCTCTTATTTTATTTTATTTTTTCTGGTTTGCATATGCACAAAAGTTGTTTGTCGGAGGACCCGCCAGCCAATTACTGCAATGAACAAACACAACCAAACACGCATAAATATCTCCAGCCAGGACAGCTCCGTAATGCCACAAAGTCCTGAGTCCTGAGTCCTGAGTCCTGAATCCTGTGTCCCGTGTCAGTGGTCGGCTGGATTTGTATACTTGTTGTCTGGTTATCAACTCGCTTCCGGAACTTAATGGCCTGAATCCTTTTGCTGCCTTGATTTGACTCCCGTACCAAGTCCCTTTCGCAGGACTCAGACGGAGTGCATTGGCCTGTGAGATCCTGCGAGGCTAACCCTTGTTAGCCCACCAAATCTAAAGGAAGTTTTCCTCTTGCCTGTGCATTGGATAACTTAATTTGATCAATTTTCCATGGTACTAATGGAACTAAGCTGCAGAAGTTATGACATCTGCTAGAGAAAATGTTTGGTGACCCCGAATTCAGCACTTCCGCACTTTACCTATAAAGATCTAATATCCGGTAAGCATATCTGCAAATGTAGTTCATTTTATTAGTAATTTTTTAATTTTCGCTCAGAAAACGGAACATTTTGGGTACCTCAAAAGATAACTATGACCTAAGTTGGCTAATCCCCGAGATACAATTTACGATGCAGGATATTCCAAGTCCATAACGGAATTCCCTGCTCGATTCCGCCTTCTTTTGTTTGTTTCTTTCGCTTTGTTTTTAATGCGCTTTTGATGAAACCATCATGTCACATTACATCAAACCAAACCAAACAGGACAAAACAAAGTCAAACAAAGGGAAGAATAAAACCGACGGTATATACAGTATATCGGACACACACGCAGATGCCCGACGAATCCGGCGAGTCCTTCGAATCCTTCGAGTCCTGCGGGGGAGTCCCAGGACACAAGGATTTCGGCCATTTAGCAGCGGCAGCTCGAAATCTCATAAACACTTTGCTCTGCACAAATTGAAATCTGGTTAGCAGGACGGCAAAGAGGGGTGCTAAACAAACATTGACACGCCGTTCAGCGAAGGAGGCTGAGATTTCGAAGGAGAAGAGGTTGCACTGTGAGAAAAATTACTAACCTATTTGAAAAACAAATAAAAAATCTTTTTAGTATAATCAACAAAATATTTCGTTTTGAAAAGCATCTACATTTCGATTTTCAGTATTCAAGCTAATATAATTGCCTTAAAAAACTCTTTCCAACACTAGTTGCATTTTTTTGATTTGGCAAAGATTTTGAAATATTGAGTACTGAGAATACTGATATTAGGCTTCTTAAAACTAGTTATAAATGTTGGAGGTAATTTTCGATTGCTTTGTAACCAGTGGCACTCATATAATGAATAATATATTACAAAAATAGATAATATTTTTTCACTGCTCAAGAAACAGAGTTCATGCGTGCAAATCAAAGTGAGCACGGCAAGTGTGGCCAAAAGGACAAAGGGCAAGAAGTCAGGGGTGAACTTGTGTACTAGATCGGAGGGTGTTCAACGGAATGGAGCATGTGGGTGGTGCACAAACACATTTATTGGCTCGACCAGAGCATTTAGCCCTGATGCGTATTAGCCGACGACGTGGGACTCCGCCCGTGGGACAAGATTCATGAGCCTTGTTATTCCCTTTTCGAAGGATTCGGATAAGGGGTTACTGGCTGGCGAACTGCGGGATTCTTTATTGAATTTTTATAGGATCGTAATGGGGATCGTTTAGCAGGAAGGTCATACAAGCAATTTACAAGAAAGTGTTTTGGAGAAAGACAAAAAAGATGCGATAGGAGTGGGTGAAATAAGGAGCGCAATATTCGACTGCTGGGTCAGAGCTTCTAAAGCTTCAGTCAGAACTAGTATTATTAAAGAAAAATATACACAAATCCTTTAAAATATTTTAAAAAAAAGAGTTATAATAACTGTTATAACTTGTAATTGAATTTAAAAGTTATTATAATATGGTTCAAGTAGTGAGCATATAATCCTTTTTAAGGATCTTCAAATTACTTTTCTAGTTGAAATTATAATAACAAACCATTGCAGTCTTCATCATAAAAGTATAGTTCTAAAATTGCCAACCCCAGTCAAGTATTCCCCTCCGGCAATTGACTTCGGAACCATAAAAAAGTGAATTGCATTTGTCTAATCACAATTTATTGACCCTCAGCCTCGATGACCCAACGACTTCAGATCTAACCCGAGAGCAGGATGACATTAGGTAGGTTTTTTTTTCTTTTTTGGAGGAGGACGCGGGGCACTCCATGGTTCTTTGTGGGTCCATTGTGACTGTCATTGCAGTCGAACTGTCGGAATAGCCGAAGAAGAGGCTGAAGAAGAGTGAGAACCCCTGCCCAGTTCCATTGTGTTTTTTAGTACTTCCTCGAGCGGAGAGCCCCGAGAACTGAACTGAACCGAACTGGCAACAACAATGGCTGGGCGGCAATGTGTCATGCTTGTTGATTTGTAAGGATGCAGTGCAGCAGCCCCTGGCTGGAATTGTATTGACCGGAAAATCATAAAGCTCTTTGTTGCCCTGCTGCCGGGAGGAAATCAAATCGAAGCGGCCTCGTCATGGAGCTGGACCATCTACTCGAAACCGGAAATGTTGCCCAACGCATTTAATCTTTGTCCGCTCTTCGATTTTCCATTACCCGATTATAATCCTTCCTCTTTTTTTTTTACATTTTTTTGA